TTTTGTGTGTTGTAATTGGGAATATATTAATCTATCATAAAAAACTTGGATGGGTGACCGTGATGGGAGCCGCTTGACTCTGGGACTTAAGTCTTGCCCCACAACGAAGCACATGTGATGCATATGGTCTCACTTTAGGCAAGTGAGTTTGTTCAAAATTGCCTCTGTTCACCCAGCAGAAAATGGGTACCCAGTGAAATAAGTCGTGAGACTATTAACCTTCTAGTGCCTAACAGGCAGCTTGGGTTATCTGGGGTAATAATGATCAGATTATGCTCTTTGAGCAGGATATCTAGCCTGGATAAATATTATTATCAGTAATATACAACTGGCTCACACAGTAGATATCGCTATGCGATATCTTCATTGTAGGTATCACAACAACTGAGTTGTCATAATGTTATTACATCATCATTTAATGACCTCACAATACTTTGACATCACTAAGAACTCAGTTGACAATGTTATATCCTCAATGCTCAAGAAGGCTAATGGCAGTTTTATCTTAAGACATATTCATGTTTTTACTGATAACCGAAGAAGAATGTATTTGGTTTGGATGATAAATAATATGTTATAATAATTTGCTTGGTGAAAGATAAAGTCATCAGAAACATATTCCCAAATTTTCAATTAAAATTTGTGTATAATTATGTTTTAATTGCGAAAACAGTTTCTGTAAATCTCAGCTTCGGCCATTATGCATATTTCGCTGGAACCCACGTGACCTTTCCGCTCGTGACGTCAAATGTGCCTGGAGTCCACCATATTGCCAAAGACCAAGCGCTACAGTAGTACAAATCGTGTTGTTTCTGTCATTCTTTTAAATGGTACGATGGTGTATTGCGTTGCCTGGGGATGCACGGCATCATCGAACATGGGAAAGAACCACCATTGCTTCCGTTTTCCAAGTGAAAGGACAGATTTCGGGAGGAGAAATGCGCACGATCATATGAAAGAGATGCACGCATGGGGTATGGAAATCCCCAAGCTAGGCTGAAGAAGGAAAAAGTATCCACGAGATTCATTTATACTCCATCATTCCCTGTAACAACTTACTGTCAGTGGTATTTTTAACATAAATTAAATCAAGTCCGGTTGCCAGTCGAATTGTCCCCGCTACAAATTGACCCAGCACATTTGGTCAAAATTGCCCCAGTGGCGTAGTCAAAATGCCCCAATTTATTTAAAATAAATAAATATAGGCCATAATGCATAGTTTTGTCAACTTTGATATTATGTTCTTCATATAAAAGTATATACATAGTTATGAGTTTACTAATGAAACATTTATCAGAAATATTACTTCTTGATAACTTTTATATGAAGAACATAATATCATAATAAGTTGACAAAAACTATGCGCTTACGGCATATATTCAATCATTATAAATAAATTTGACCAAATTAGAATAAATGACCAAATTTGCTGGGGTATTTTGTACTGGGGCAGTTCGACTGGTACACATGAGATATATATTATCAAAATCAGTAAGTGATTTCACATGAGCTTGAAAATGTTTTGCTATAACGTTCTTTTCGGTTTGGAGCCCTAAATGACGTAGTCAACTCGAAACATTGCCGAATACAACGGCAAATCATGAAGTACTTGTTGCTTTCATTGTTTTCCATTTTGTCCAATTACGCACGTCGGCATCAGACTCGCTATTTGTCAGTAGTGTGTGCCGTGAAAGTTGTTCTGTATTCTCATTGGCTGACAAGATGTAATTCTAAGGCTATGACCGAGTACCGTAACTATTTGCATAACCAAACAGTGGGGAAACATACGTTGTCCTGACTAGTATTTTATAATTCACCAGTTTTCGGGGAATAACTTATCTGCGTCGCAAATATTATCTCTGCTCGACCAGGCTGGGATCTTGTATCGAGACTTGATACGTTATTAATGAGAACTAGGATCCTAATTTTTTCAACAAAATAATTCCAGTGTAAGTTTTGAAGCAGATAATTTTTATTTTCCCTCGTCTGAAGCATAATTATTTTGTTTTTAAATCCCAGACACCCTACAGTCACCCATTTGACACAAAATGAACTGTAATCACATTTTTTTAAATAATTCTTAGTGACTGCTCATATATTTATAGGGTGAGTTTGTTGGCTGGAAATGTATGACATTTTGCTGACAAATAATAATCTTGTTAAATGATATGGTCTATTTTTATATTTATTTTGACCTCAAGCGGTGCCTCCGTTTCGCTTGATTCTTCTTCTTCATCTTCAGTGGAAGATTGTTTTGCAAGATGTAAAATCGGATCGTATTGATACGGTCTAACATCCATTTCAGAAATGACACCAGGAACAGCTTTTACTGCTTCAGAATCCACGGACACTGTTAAGTTGTGAGGTAAAATCAAAGAGAAAGCCATCAGCAACAGGCACTTATGACGCCATGTCACGTGATACCCCCTCTGCTCATTAACTGTCGGGTGTTTCCGTAATAGGCGGAAATACGAGTACGTTTTTGTGTTTTTATTGCTATTTTACAAACTTTTTGTTCAATTTTAATCACGGAATGTGACTTTTAGAATATCCTTTACAATATATCAAAAGTTTTGTTTCGTTCGTATTCTCCTTTAAAGCAGAACAAATACTTACAACAGAGCACACTTCAATGCTGCCATGGTTGGGAACCAATCTTCTTCTTGAGTCCATGATCTGATGATTTCTTCTGGATTGAATTTCATCAGATAACAGATTTTGTATTTTATAGATAAGTGGTATATATTCCTCATGCATCTAAATGTAAGAACCGAAGGGACGGGATTAGGTGACAATAGACTTGAAATAAATGGTTTGCGAGGTATTTGATTTGTATTAGAGATACAGATAGATACTTATGGATACATTATTATAGTGTTATTTCGTTATAAATACCAATTCCATTAACAAGCAAGATTATTAGTCGTCTTATTTGTATATTAATGAAGTTATCCGTAAACCAAGTATACTTTGTCATAATAAGACTGCACACATACTATTGTATCTGAAGAAATGCATATACCATTTCACTCAATGTAATATGTCATTTGAATACCACTTTGACGTGTGTACACAATGACTATCTTGAACGAATTTTCATGTTCCCAGCTGTTCCTGACAACGTACAAAAATATAAGCAATTTGAGAATGACAACTTGATCTTACGTCAGGTGGTCTGTGTGTATGTAAATATAAAGAATAATGTGTATCATATTAAGAAGATCAGGCAATCCCATTTACATCGGGATCGGAAGACAGAACAAGCAACGGGTCTGTTCTTCCTTACCGCACCTCCAACAGGAACACCATGTCGAAGCTAGAACACCTCAAGAAGGAAGTTTCAAAATACGACTATGTCCGGTTTTCTCTCTGCGATCTGAATTGCATCAGTCGTGGTCTAGTGATCCCAAATCGCTATGCTGCAAAATATATCCAAGATGCCTTGGATATATATGAGGGTAGGTACACAATACATCTGTTGGTAAATCAAAGCTTCAGTACTTACAAAAGATAAAGATGGCTGCTGTGGCTTGGCAAGACACCAAAAAACCATATTCATTTTCTAAGCTCTTAAAGGACTGTACAATTTTAGCTCTCCGAAAATAACCCTTTGTGAAATCATATTTAGTGTATATGTATGAGATAACAGTGCCAAAACAATATCATTATAGTACACGGAGGATCTTCAGCGATGATGAACGTCATAGTTCGAATCATGCATTCATATAACATACAAGTGCTAGAATTATTTCAACAATTGACAGCCTTTAACATGACAATATTGGGATATGATGACAAGAAGAGAAAATATACAAAATAACTATTTTTAAAATTTCATGGTCGGGCTTTTGTTACGATTGCTTGTTGCTCAAGATTATTCCAGGTATATAGCGGCGGTCTGTATATAATCGAACCTGGACCAGACAATCTAGTTATCAACAACTTCACTTATGAGAAGGGCAATACTTACCTTTTCTTGTATTATCACTGAATGAAGTGAATCATCTAAAACATTGTCACCGTTATTTTGCTTTTTACGACCACTGGATTGCGTTTACTCTCGTGTTGACGCATTTATTGTATTTATTGTCCTTTGGTAAAATCTATCTCGTTGTATATAGTTTTTTCCTCTCACTGATGTATATGTTTGTCTGGCCATCTGAGAGTAAAAGTTGCGTTCATTTTGTCTTCGGAAAAAAGATCAACACAGCATGAAGTATTGTTTTTCGGTGCACTCTCTGTGTGGTTATTTGACGACGGCAACGAAATGATCGAGTCTAGTGACTGCTATTATGTGTGGCTACTAAATAATCGAATCTAGTGACTGAAGATGTGAGCAATCAACCAAGGCGTCTGGATACAAAATCCAGGTTGTGTAAATTCATAGGATACGCTAAGTAGAACGTTATCTATTTACAGGAATATTGGCACAGGGTCCGAAGACAGATTATGTTCTCATAACCCATGAAAAGAACCATAACCTCGGCAACATGCATACACTTCCTGACCCCGATACTCTCAGACCAATTCCCTGGGCACCAGAGGGGATCAAGGTTGTTGAAATGTTATGCGAGTCAAGATAGAAGAAGGACAATTCTCCTCAACTGGCTTGTCCACGCTGGCAATGAAATTAAATTTAAGCTCCTTGATGAAACCTTGAATCCAGCCTATTATGCCAAGGAGGGTTTCAACCAGAGAGTTTTTAACAAGCACAGCAAACTTTTATTTCACTTTGATAAAATCTTTCAAGAGTCCAACATTGATGTCGAAAGATACCATCCGGAGAATGCAGATGGAACTTTTGAAGCTGTCACAAAGCCAAAGTTTGGAATAGAAAGCCCTGACAGCCTTTAACTTAAAAGAGGGTCTGATGGAAATGGCAGATCTTAAAGGTTTCAAAGTAACCTTCATGTCCCATTTCAGTGGTGGAGAAGACGGAATAGCCACCCATTTCAACTTTTCCCTCTGGAATAAATCTGGAGAGAACGTGTTCTTTGATGATGGCGCTCCGGATAACGACAATAGCAAAACAGTGGATTGCTGGAATTTTAAAGCACAGTAAAGCTATCTGTGCGTTTGCCAACCCAACGGTCAACTGCTACAGGAACTTCTTCAAATTGTTCTACCCTTTACACATTTACTGGGGAATCGAAGATCGAGAAGCATGTGTCCGCATCAAGAACAAAACGCCTTGCACAACCTACATAGAGAACAGACTTCCTAGTGGAAAGAGTAATACATATCTCGTGATGGCATCTACCATTGCTGCTGGGCTGGATGGAGTCAATAAGAAAATGGAATGTCCAGCCAAGGGAAAATCAAAAGACACTGATTCGCTTCCTTGTTCCCTTGCCGAAGCTCTGGCGGAACTGGAACAGGACGTAGACCTGTGCCATGCTTTGGGGGATGAACTGGTGACATGGTTTGTCAAGAGCAAGAAAGATGCAGAAATTGCCAAGTATGACGGTATTGAGATTAACGGTATTATCCCATTAATCGCCTCTTACAACAAGCTTGGGTTGCTGAAAACCAATCCTAACCCAGATCTTCACGGGTCCGATTTAATTTAATAAATGTTATTCTCTCCATTAGTTACGTTTATACATATCATTCAGAATGAACATCCGTACTTTTGTTGCATCTTACATTCAAGCGGAATGTCCTGTTACTTTCTTACTCCTAATGTAGAAGAAAAGTATTATCAGTTCTTTAGGTGATGACATGGAGACTTTTAACATGTGACAGATTTCCCTTTGACTAAATATGCAACTGATGTGACACAAACGTTCTCATTATAGCAGGGTATTGGAACAGTTGCTAGTTAGGTTCTTGGTCTCATATTTATACCACACATGTCTACCACTGCTTAATAATATTATATCCAGTATTTCTATCACATTTCCTGTCACGTTATGGCTGAAATAACTATGATCTAATAACAACAAAATTGACCATTTCCTTCATTTGGCCAGCTCTTCAACAGAAGGTTCGGGAATCATTTGTAATTGTGGCGATGAAGGCATTGAGTACTGTCATTCAGGGAATTGTGTCACCAATAAAGAAAAAATTCAGAAAACAACCAGGCTTCAAACACCGACCATTTTAATTGGAATAATATAGTCGCAGGACCAAAATCATAATAAGATAGCGTCATAGATTGAGACGTTCTGGACGTTCTGAAGTATGTTCACGGGGATGCAACGGCTGCAGATGTAGACAGGTGTCATCGGATCGGAAAGAAGTATAGAGGTCAAACTCGCAAAATAAGTTTGTCATCTACTTATACTGAGACGAAAAGAAGGTAATGTAAAGCAAACGGAATTTCGGCCACTAGAGATTGCATGTGCACATCAACAAAGATCTAAAGAAACATCGGAATCATTTGTTCAAACTAGCCAGAGATCGGAAAGGACGGCGGGCGATCTATTCAGTTTAGACTTCATGCAGTAGTCGTAATACTATGAGTATCATGTTGTTTTGGTCGTGATTGTCCCTCCAAACAAACCTTTCGTATTCTCATGTCACCGCGAAACACGAACCTATTATGTAACCTTGCATCGTTCATTCACCATGAACGATGAAGTCAGGTGTTTGCGAAATGGGATATATAATCTTGGATGGTACGCATATGATCATCACAAACCACTCTCTACGAACATGGCTCTGCTCTCTGCAGGAGGAATAAACCAAGTTGACATTGAACGTTTGAATAGGAGTATGCCTCGTCGAATCCTTGATGGTCTTGGAAAGAGAGACGGATTGACGCGATATTAATGAGTTTGACTTATTCAGTTAGTGAGTGAGTTTAGTTTTACGCCGCACTCAGCAATATTCCAGCTATATGGTGGCGGTCTGTAAATAATCGAGTCTGGACCAGACAATCCCGTGCTCAACAGCATGAGCATCGATCTGCGCAATTGGGAACCGATGCCATGTGTCAACCAAGTCAGCGAGCCTGACCACGTCAGCCGATCCTGTTAGTCGCCTCTTACGAGAAGCATGGGTTACTGAAGGTTCATTCTAACCCGGACCTTCACGGGTAGACATATTCAGTAGCTAAATGACAGTAGAGAGCTTTGATCCATCACTATTGGTCCAGTTTTTGTGATAGACATCCTCAAGCGTATCGAAAGTTAATGTCTGGACGAAGAGACGACAGAAAGTGCGACAAGCTGACAGAAATCATACGTCCACGGAGCTAAAAGTAAAGTTATCGAATCGTGCTTCTCAAACGTAATATTGCCCCTTTTCTGTGAAACAATATGGACTACTAATAAGAATACAATTCATACACATAAGGTAGAAATATACTAAACAAAATTAAAAACTTGACAGTTCTTACATTTCATCCCTCAATGAAAGCCGTGTGTGTATTAGTATGAAAATGGATTTGTATCATACTGTTATCATCCAGGAAAAAAACAGAGGGTGAAATTAATATGTCATCATATTATTCATAGAAAATAAGACATGATGTAACATGGCAACCTATCCCACCTCCTAACGCGAACTTCACAAGTTACATGGCAAAACTTTTACACTGAAAAAGCTGTTGGAAAAAAACCGACGGGCCATGTTACACAACAGAATCAACGCCATGCCCTACACTGCCAGATCAACATTAACTGACACTGGTATCAATGCTGCCACCGCCATGTTACTTGAACAAGGCAGGGAAGTTGTTCCACGAATCCTGTGGTAACAGATGGCTCTTCCACCCGACCTGACAGGACACTCGTTACTGCAGATACAGCTAAGAGTTCAAGTATCACCATCTATTCGGTCGGGATAGAAGTGCACGTGAAAGCAGACCTGGTTATCGCATCCGATGAAGGCAACATGGTCCACTTGGAGGATTTCAGCGACTTTGAGAACATTGTCCCAGAGCTTGAAGTGAAGTTCTGTGCAGTAGTTAATAAGTATGAGTCTTCTCATATACACTGACATCAAGAATCTATTCCAGATTAATTTCCTCTAACTACTTAACGTCTTCGAGTGGCATTTAGAAGTTGGTGTTTTGATGGATATGGATATACAACTTCTTTATTATAAATAACACCTTTATCAAGCATGTACAATACTGCAAGCAAGTTTATATATACATGGTAGAGTTTGAAAAGTAAGTTGATTGATGTTTACACAATCCATAAGGTTGATGTACAAGATTGGAGAATGTTTACACAAGAAGGCAATTGTTACATAAGCAGATTTATCTATGGAGGGAATTCTATCAAGACATTTGTTTCCTGAAGGAAGGACAGACGGATGGGACTCAAACCTATATCAGCCTCCCACTTCGTGGCGGTAAATAATAATCTTTAACAGAAGATCAAGAAAATTTCACACAAGCCCTCGTTGTTCAATAAATATCCTTGATAATATTAAACATACGATCGTGAATATTATGCGATATTAGATAATAAAATCATAATGGGAGTATAATTAGCGTATTTTACACTGGAATACTTTGTCCAATTTTAAATCTTGCAGATTTCAGAACTCATTCTTACATTGGCTTCCCATTTCCAGCAGGTGAATATGTAATTACTTTTGGCATTCAAAAATAATTCCATAACCTAATATATACTAAGAAGCACGAGCGTGTAACAGTTGTGAATTAAATGAATTTACGAAACCTGACTAGCATTCCAATTAGCCTATTAATGAAGTGACATTATTGTGCTCCCTATTTTTGCAATGATATTCTAGATTAAATTTCATCAGATAACAGATGTTGTATTTCATACTTTTTGTAAGTGATAATGATATATACTCCTCATAAATCTACATGTACATACCGACGGGACGGGATTAGGTAGACTTGAAATAAATGGTTTGCAGTGTATTTGACAGATGTTATAGACAGATTTACAGACAGATAATTATGAACACATTATTATAGTGATATCTCGTTTTAGATCCCAATTCCATTAACAAAATTACTAGTCGTCATATTTGTATATTAAGCAAGTTATCCATGAGGTGTTCTGTGTGTATATAAATAATCTTTTTTCCATTTGTAGCAATACAAAAGGAGTGAGTGAGTGAGTTAATATTTAATATCACATCGGCAATATCTCAGCCATATCGTGACGAGAACTATTTAATTTATATCAATATAAAAAGATTTCAGAACTCATTCTTACATTGGCTTCCCGTTTCCAGCAGGTGAATATGTAATTACTATTGGCATTCAAAAATAATTCCATAACCTAATATATACTAAGAAGCACGAGCGTGTAACAGTTGTGAATTAAATGAATTTACGAAACCTGACTAGCATTCCAATTAGCCTATTAATGAAGTGACATTATTGTGCTCCCTATTTTTTGCAATGATATTCTAGATTAAATTTAATCAGATAACAGATGGTGTATTTCATACTTTTTGTAAGTGATAATGATATATACTCCTCATAAATCTAGACCCCAATTCCATTAACAAAATTACTAGTCGTCATATTTGTATATTAAGCAAGTTATCCATCAGGTGTTCTTTGTGTATGTAAATAATCGTTTTTCCATTTGTAGCAATACAAAAGGAGTGAGTGAGTGAGTTAATATTTAACATCACATCGGCAATATCTCAGCCATATCGTGACGAGAACTCTTTAATTTATATCAATATAAACACAATAAATTGAAAAATAAAAAGCGGTCATCGAAGGACAGTAAAACTACTAGAATATCACAGCTCTTATATCACTATAGTAGACAATAACACAATATATAACCTGGCTATAGATTACCAGCAACTGACGGTTGATCACCATACTAGGGACCATGAATGCAAAGTGAAAACATTTATTTATCATAAAAAGAAGAACAGGCAATCTCATTTACATCTGGATAGGGAGACAGAACAAGCAACAGGTCTGTTCTTCTTTACTGCACCTCCAAGAGTAACACCATGTCGAAGCTAGAACACCTCAAGAAGGAAGTTTCGAAATATGACTATGTCCGGTTTTCTCTCTGCGATCTGAATAGCATAAGTCGTGGTCAAGTGATCCCAAATCGCTTTGCTGCAAAATATATCAAAGATGGCTTAGATATATTTGAAGGTAGGAAACTTTACATTTGTTGGTTAATCAAAGATAATTACCACGATAGAAATACTCACAAAACATAAACATCACTGTTGTGACTTGGCTAGACACCACCTTTACCGTATTCATTTTCTAAACTCTAAAAGGACCTTACAATTTTAGCTCTCAGAAAATAACTCTGTGTGAAATCATATTTATTGTATATGTATGAGATAACAGAGTCAAAAGAGTGTCATTATAGTACACGTTGATGTAATATATTATAAATTATTATCCTTTGATAATATTTATTTCGTTGACTACAGTTTGTTCTCACTGGTGCATATCTTTGTCTAGCCATCAGTGAGTAAAAGATGCATTCATTTTGTCTTCGGATAAAACAAATCATATTTTTAACACCTTCTTTATACGTGCAAGACTCAAAAAGCTCAACACAGCATGATCTTTGTCGTATTGTTTTCGGTGCACCATGTGAGTGGCTATTAGACGACGGCTACGAAATAACCGATTCTAATGATTGCTTTTATGTGTGGCTATTAGACAACGGCTAATAAATAATCGAATCTAGTGACTGATGGCATGAGCAATCAACCAAGGCGTCTGGATACAAAATCCAGGTTGTGTAAATTCATAGGATATGCTTAGTAGAACGTTATCTATTTACAGGAATACTGGCACAGGGTCCGAAGACAGATTATGTTCTCATAACCCATGAAAAGAACTATAACTTTGGCAACATGCGTATGCTTCCCGACCCTGATACTCTCAGACCAATTCCCTGGGCACCAATGGGGATCAAGGTTGCTGAAATATTATGCGAGTCAAGATGGAAGAAGGACAATTCTCCACAACTGGCTTGTCCACGCTATATTGCCAGGAAGCAACTTCAGAGATTAGATGATCTTGGATTGGATTTCTATTCTGGCAATGAAATTGAATTTAAGCTCCTTGATGAAACCCTGAATCCAGTCTATTATGCCAGGGAGGGTTTCAACCAGAGAGTATTTAACAAGCACAGCAAACTTTTATTTCACTTTGATAAAAACTTTCAAGAATCCAATATTGATGTCGAAAGCTACCATGCGGAAAATACGGATGGAATTTTTGAAGCTGTCACAAAGCCAAAGTTCGGAATAGAAAGCCCTGATATGGTCTTTAACCTAAAAGAGGGTCTGATGGAAATGGCAGATCTTAAAGGTTTCAAAGTAACCTTCATGTCTCATTACAGTAGTGGAGAAGACGGAATAACCACCCATTTCAACTTTTCGCTCTGGAATAAATCTGGAGAAAACGTGTTCTATGATGATGACGCTCTGGATAACCTATCGACAATAGCAAAACAGTGGATTGCTGGAATTTTAAAGCACAGTAAAGCTATCTGTGCGTTTACCAACCCAACGGTCAACTGCTACAGGAACTTCTTCAAATTGTTCTCCCCTTTACACATTTACTGGGGAATAGAAGATCGAGAAGCATGTCTCCGCATCAAGAACAAAACGCCTTCCACAACCTACATAGAGAACAGACTTCCTAGTGGAAAGAGTAATACATATCTCGTGATGGCGTCTATCATTGCTGCTGGGCTGGATGGAGTCAATAAGAAAATGGAATGTCCAGCCCAGGGAAAATCAAAAGACACTGAAACGCTTCCTTGTTCCCTTGCCGAAGCTCTGGCGGAACTGGAACAGGACTTAGACCTGTGCCATGCTTTGGGGGGATGAACTGGTGACATGGTTTGTCAAGAGCAAGAAAGATGCAGAAATTGCCAAGTATGACGGCATTGAGAGTGATGAGGAAAGGCTTGCTATAGAGAAAGAAAACTACCTGTAATAATCGAATAACTACATTTGCTATATTGTTTCATTACCCTTGTAATGTGTGTGTGTTTGGGTGTTGGGATATATGTGGGCTAGGGTTTTGGAGGTAATGTTGCAGCTGCGGCTGTAAATCTATGTATGTTTTAAATTAACAAGTTTGTTCCGAATGAATTTTGAAAACAAGCTGCAACGATGCATTTTTCGTAACTGGTAATTCATTTTTTTTCGTGTTCGTTTTATCCTTTTCGATAAGATCCAAGCTTATTCAAAGCAGTTTTATCGTTGAACCTATTCACGTCATTGTCCTAACAGCTAACACATGAAGTTTGTTCATGCCAGGTCATGACTACCAGTCTCCAGACCACATTATTTGGCCTTCCGCTAAGCCCTTTTCAGTTAAAAGGGAATTATTTATTTCTATCAAAATTATGTATATTCGGAGATTAACCATTAGTCTACAGTTATTCTTGCCTTACCCCCTTTTGGGAGCAGAACTCAATATTCTAGTATACCGGACGACAATTCATGTTCAGCTGTCACAGTTAGTTTGCGTCTTACACTTTATGAAAACTGTTTCTGAGGATAGTGAAGTGTGAGTGATTTGGTAATTTTCACACTTCACGTTCAATATGTACAATGATTTAAGAAGTCCTTGCCATGGTACTTCACTTAAAAAAGCATGTCTTTGATCCAAAGAATTCCTGTTTAGTTTTGTGCTTTCGCACCATCCCACCTTCCCCTGGTGAGTGTATTTTTATAACTATAGATGTAAATAACTTCAATCTGACAAGAAGATATTTACATTTCATTATCAAATGGTGTCGTTGAATAAAGCCTTCTTGGGAACTTAAAGAGCATCTACGTTGTTTCACTGTGTGAAATGAACCAACAGTTTCAGATTTCGCATATATAGGTATCATATAAAAGACAAACAATACAAATCATCAGTGAAAGAATCGCCATTAGTCTAAAATGACGTTGTCTCTACGCCTCTTTGTTTCGAGAATCTCTCATTCCCCATGGACAAACAGGGAATGTATCATTCGCTGTGGTTAAGCCTTTTGCAAATTTATCGGGAAGCGCATGTGGCCTAGTCTTTTATGATGCCACAATTTACTGTGCACAGATGCGTCCCTTCACCACAGAAACCCATGATAATGGGTTCGAATCATGGATCACACAGATTATCTTTCTGTGTTTGCCAGCGACAAACTGTTCAGTGGACAACATCTACATTCAGTAACGAAAGTAAACAAAGTGACGTAAACTGAGAGGATTAATTAGACGAGAAATTGGCTTTCGTTTTATCGTGACATGATTACGTTTTGAACTGGGACTTCTGTTGTCTATAAAGGTTCTCCACGGCCCTCTGTTCTTGACATGCCTCGATCGTTAAATCAGGATGGTTAAATCACTTTGAAGAAGTTCCTTTAACATTTGACTGTTGGGTTGGTAATTGCTAAGGTTACTTTGATACCTTTAAGATCTGCCATTTCTACAAGACCATCTTTTACATTAAAGTTCATGTCAGGTTACTCAATTCCATACTTTGGGTATTTCACAGCTTCAAACATCCCACCTGCATTCTCAGCATGATCTCCTTCAACAGGGCGGTGGGGTAGCCTAGTGGTCTAAACGTTCGCTCGTCACGCTAAAAGTTTCGATTCCCCCATATGCATAGGGTACAATGTGTGAAGCCCATTTCTGGTGTCACCCGCCGTAATATTGCTGGAATATTGCTAAAAGCGGCGTAAAACCCAACTCACACATTCACTCACTCACTCATAACTTTTTCACTCACAACAGCTCTCTCGAGCCCAGATCTAGACTACTGTTTGGGACAAACATACACATTACCTGAGTAATGGCTCCTTTCATGGTGTATTTACACTTAATTTGTCTCTGGATCATTTCGCCAAAATGCAAGGGTGCCCTTGTACAAAGCGATCTTTGCGATATGACTGTCGTAGGTCTATGTTAAGGTATGGGATTACGATCACATTAGGGCTAAGATCGATTTGTGCAATGGCACATTGGAATGAAAGAATTGTTTGGTATGTTCTATGAATAAGGACAACATAATGCAAATCTTTGAATATTACGATCTTTGAGTCCGATGGATTATTGCTCATCGTATAAACAATGTATTACTACTGAGGAAAGTAACAAAAAGTACGTTTCCCCACCGCCCCATCTGTGCTGAATGAATTGAACTGTCTTCTCGTTCGACATTACACGGATATTTGGCAAAGAATTTTAGCGTAGGCTCCAGGTGTATCGGCCATGTGATAAAATTCTATTATGGTCAAATAACCATTTCGACTGATTTCCATTAGAACTAGATACAGAAGAATCAAAACACTTTCCTCGAGACTGGTGTTTGGTAACTGATGAATGACACGGTTGTGCTATGTACTCCATTAGACAATATAGTGCTTCAAATAGGAAACTGGTCAACTCATTTGGCACCCGCAGTCCTAATGGTTCTTGATGCAAGGTCATCGTGTGTCGGTTTGGAGCACTAGTGAGTTTATTAAATGCTTATGAAAGACATTTTAACATCGTTTGACATTTTACACACACTGGTTTCTCACAAAGTACATATCACCATGTTCTTGCATCAAGATCCACCCGAGCAACCAGTCTCAGACATTAAAACCGGTTAGGTTAAAAATGACATGATGAAAATAACACTCTTGTGAAATATTTCATTTTATTTTTACATTTTTTTTATCCGTCAATGAATGTAGCTAAACGGGTCAAAAGCCTCCCTTGTGCATTCTTTGAGATTTGAATTTCACATTGTGTGACGGCCTCGGAGAGAGATTTTATCCTTAGTTTGAACCTTGAACGAGTCGATAATTAAGGCGCACGTGTCTTGATTGTGGTCCTCCAATGAGTTGCACCGAGCATATTCTATCATGGGCGTGTAGTAAAACAAATCACATCTATACAGAAACTCTGAGCTGGCGATAAACGTGTTTAAAACTCGCATGTAGTCATTCGTAATAGAGATCCGGAGCTCCCACGGGATCCCACGTGGAGGTGTTCCTTTAGCTGGCTTACTTCAGGAAGTAACATGAATTTCAAGAATATCAAATTACATAGGCCTCCCTGTGCTTCTCCATTTGTCTTTTGAACACAATGATAATATTAATAGTTTTCAGATGACAGTGCTTTATTGCTATCAATTTTTGAGTAAGACTAAAGTACCTGGAAATATGAAGTGAGCTGACATCGGACGTTTGCATTCTTTAATCAGTTCCAATATCTTACAACAATATTTAGAAATATGATCTGTATACATTACCCACATAGACAGAATATAACATGTTTCCTCTAATTTGCACAAATATAATGTGCAATGTATACCTTTTTTATATGAATACACTACTGAATGCAACGTTTGATACATTACTTGCACGATACTTCAGTGAAAGAACACAAAATGCTGATATCCATGAGTTAACTTTTCGTATAATACCACAGCAACGTTTAACGTCGTATAGATCTTAGTTTTGCATGAAATCCAGTGCTTAATCATTCTCTGTATTTCAGGGCTCAATTTTCAGTAAACTGACAATTATCCCTGGTTCCATTCTCGTAGTTCTCAAATTACACGCCCATAATTTTCATTAACGCAAGAATGAATCCAGGGATTGGTGAATGGTATGACCCCAAGTACTACCGATTCATTTTTCGTTTGGTTGGTTTGTTGTTTAACGCCACACTCACCAATAACCGACTCGGTTAGTCGCCTCTTACGAGAAGCATGGGTTGCTGAAGACCAATTCTAACGGGGATCTTCACGGGTCCGATTAAAATTAATAAATCGTTTTCTCTCCATAACTGAGTGAGTGAACGAGTGATTTTAGTTTTACGCCGCACTCAGCAATATTCCAGCTATATGGTAGCGGTCTGTAAATAATCGAGCATGAGCATCGATCTGCGCAATTGGGAACCGATCACATGTGTCAACCATGTCAGCGAGCCTGACCACCCGATCCCGTTAGCCGCTTCTTACGACAAGCATGGGTTACTGAAGACCAATTCTAACCCGGATCTTCACGGGTCCGATTAATTTTAATAAGTCTTCTTCTGTCCATAAGTGAGTGAGTGAGTGAGTTAAAATTTAACGTCACCTCGGCAATAATTCAGCCATAAAGTGACGACAAATGTTTTACATAAACAATAAATTTAAGTTACTAAAAATCAGTCATCGAAGGACTGTAAAATAACTAGAGTATCACAGATGGAGTCTAAAACTAGCATGGACATGTAAAACTATTATATTTACGAAGACAATACAATATAAAAACGAGCTATAGGTCGCCAACAACTGAAGGTAGATCACCATACTAGGGACCATGGGGACTTACAGTGCTTTTGCTACCTGCATGGACCCTAGTTGGATTTACACCATCCCTTCAGCCGCTGGCGATTGTAGGAACATTTAGCCGACAGTTAAAATAACAAAAATACTACGCTTTAAAAATATTATAAGTCTAAATTTAACTTTGAAGGTTTTGGGACTTACGCACCCTCTCAGGAGGACAATAATTTTACAATACTTCAACCCCTTTGAGGGTACAGCCACTAACAATCTAAGTTACCAATATAAACTATCAATCATAAAAGATATCTATTTACACAAACTCTTAATCAAAGTTCATCAATTAAATCAATTTCTTTTAAAAAAACAATAATTACATGAAAATTAACACTCTCCATAAGTAGTTATGTTATGCATATCATTCAAAATGAACATCCACAATGAACATGCGGAATGTCCTGTTACTTTCTTACTTCTAATATAGAAAAAAGTATTATCAATTCTTTTTGTAGGTGATAACACGGAGACTTTTAACATGTGGGAGAGATCTCCCTTTGGCTAAATATGCAAG